CGCTGTGTGCGGACAGCGCGGCCACGGCCGGCAAGGCAAAAACTCCTGAACATTCTGATCCCAACTGACATAACATGAACACATGAACGTATTTATACTGAAAACATGAAGTTTGCTCAAAGGATTGAACTTGGCCGCGGCGGACGCACCGTGCGCCGCCGACGGCGTTGAGCCGTTTTACGACTGAACATCAATTCTTCTCGGCAAAACACACTTAACTGAACTTAAACATGATATACTGAACAAATGAACATGTTGGTTCGAAAGAACATTTACTTAGCAAGTATGCTACTCGTGAACGGCCCGTGGTGCGTGCTACGTGCACGGCCACGCCCTTCGGCCGAAACAACATTAAAACGTAAAATCTCTTTGAACACTTAAACTTATTTGAACATGATATTACATAAAATAACTAAACGGGCGAAGCTTGATCGGAGCATTCAACTTTGAACATGACATGACTCGGCAAGGCTTCACGCACGGCCTTAGTGACATATAACACGCATGCAAGCTTAAACCGAAAGCTGGACTGAAAGAACATGATAATCTCGGCTTACAATCACATGGGAATTACCTCCGACTAAGTTCAAGTGATAACACCCTTGGATTCCCGTGTTCGGCCGTAACCTTCCGAGTGCGTGTTGCCGTGTGGTGCGGGTGCTAGCAATTGCCGTGAGTACGGTGTTTGCTTATGCTTATGGAATTTACCAATTTCTCTCACTCTCTTAAGCTCTCGGTGCGTGTGAATTCCTCACAAACTCTCTATATTAAACTTAGCTTGGAGAATGAAGTATATATGATGCTTAAGAGATGTGAATTTTCACTCCAAACTCCCATTTATATACCCACCAAATGAACATTTTGGGGTGGGAGATGATGTGGTGTTATAAGGAGCTAACAACACTTGTACTAACCTTAAGAACTCTTAAGATTACTAATCACTTTCTTAGCTTAGATGATGCCACGTATGGGAGTTTAAAGGAAAAGGAATTATGTTTCCCACTTCAAAAATTATACCACGACATTATACATGAATTTTTGGACAAATATCCTCCACCATACTACACTAGATACGTACGACTTTATAGCATGAAATGGAAATTCCCCACGGTTTAACACCCACTAATGTGATCAATTAATAATTAATCACTTTTTTTAGGTTTAATCCTTAATTAAACATAATGCTTAATTACCAAAATTATTCCGAACGTAAACGGTACGTCGAAAATAATTTCCGGTAATTTCGTCTAAACTGACTGAAAATAATTAATTCCGAAAATTAATATCGAAACTAAACACATGAATATCTTGACGGAATATCGCTGACTGAATAATTAATTCCGGATTCATTAATTAATTAAACGAATAGGAATTAAATCTGGAACTTATTCGGTTACTAAAATAAGTAAACCGAATAGCTTATCGACTAATAGTCGAACATAGAAGATGACTGACTGATCAATCTGAAATTGAACATGAACATGATTATTTATTAATAAAGGCTAGCTTAAAACTAAAAGCTAGTATTTTCCTTTATTAATAAAATACGGGGCGTTACAAT